ATGTGGAGATAAGCACAAGGGCTCGCTTAGCCCAGGGAAGAGTCTGAGCAAAGGGCTGGCAGTGGGGCACCTTGGTCAGGGATCCTGAGGACAAGCTTTGTTGGCCTGGTGCACTGGTCACCAGAAAGGAAGTGGTGGGAGCCGAGGCTGCAACGCAGGTGGTGGCCGATGGGGTCAAGAGGCAGAGCCTCGAGTGCCAGGTTATGACCCTGCAGTGGGGGCCCCTGAAGGTCTTGAAGGAGAGGAAGGTCAGCAGCAGTGAGCAAGATGGACGAGGAGAGGCGGGGTGGGAGGGGACACCTCAGGCAGGGGACCTGGGGAGGAGGCCATCTCATTAGGCAAGGACAGAGGAGAGATGAAGCCCGAACCAGGGTGAATGGGTGAGCGTGGAGGAGGGGCAGAGAATACTACCACTACTATTACTACTACGGCTAATATCAGACACTGTATACTAAGCACTTACTACTGAGTGCCAGGCACTTATGCTAGTTTCCTATTTAATTCTTACGACTACCCAGTGGAATTGGTACAAATGTTCATCCCATTTTACAGACGTGTAACTGAGGCTTGAAGATGCTAAGGAAAGTGATGAACCTGGTGATGCACCCCCAAACGCCCCTCCAGGAATGAGCGCTGTCCCTCCCACACCCGCCCGCCCCCGCTGCTGGCAGGGCTATGGAAGGGCCCTGTGTTGGGACCCCCACAGGGGGTTGCCAGGCTGGCCTGAGGTCCTATCCGCTCGCTGAGGTAGCATGTGCCCAGTGGTGACCACCTCTTAGCTGGCCTGCAGCTCCCTAGGCCACCTGCCTGAGCTGGTGTTTGGGATGACACTGCTTGGCCGGGAAATTGGGGCCAACTTGGCGGGGTAGAGCCAGGGCTCTCATGGAGGATCAGACAAAGAAGCACTGCTTCCTGGCCCCTGGGGCCCCTGGAGCACAGCCCAGGGAGGAGAGGCTCGGACCAGCACCTCATTCTTCAGAGGAGGGAACAGGGCCTGGGGATGCAGTCCTCCGGCCACAGCTGGTCAGAGCCGGGGAGGAGAGGAAACACATCTGTAAAGTGGAGACATCAGAGTCCAGGACTGTTCATTAGTTTTCTGGGCTGAAGTCCCTGGTTTCTGCCCCTGGTGCTGGCGGATGACACCCAGACACTCCTCCTTCCCCCTGTCAACTACAGATTGGCACTTGTCATCTACTCTACAGGATTAAATCAGGTGCCACTGAGGCCGCTGACCTTCAACACCCCCTGAAAGGAGTTCAGGCTGGAGATCAGGAATGAGGCACTCTGTGCTCTGAGAAAAACTGGCAGAACGGGTCTTCAGATAGATATTTTCAGGAGACGATTTTATGAGCCCAATTCTTGCATCTTCTCATCTAGAAAAGCACTAAATTCCTTCATGGTGACATCTGTTCCTTGTGACTAGCAGTAACCCTCATGAGACCTTCTGCAAAAATATGTGCTTGACTGCATGTATTCCCCCTTCACCAAAATCGCACATATATTGAACTGCCCCCTCTACCTCTTTGGAGCAGTTTCTCAGAGCTATCTGAAGTGCTCTCTCCCGGGCTGCAGTCCTCACTTTGCCCCCAATAAAGCTTAACTCGCAACTCTCATGCTGTGCATTTTTTTAAGTTGACACCCCTTAGCCTAATTCTCCTGAGTGTCTAATAGCAGGTCAATCAGGCTCACCCCCTGTCCCTGGCACATTCCCCCCCCACCTCTAGGCAGTGTGTTCTGTGCCTCATCCCTGGGGATTTGCACTGCACCAGAGGGTACATGAAACTACAGAAGAAGCAGCTGCACTTTTTTTTTTGTTTCAGGTGACAAGGAATGTAAAACATATTTTTGAATTAGAATAAAGATAGAAATATCATGGAGTAGATTGCAAGTCACATGAATTTTAAAGGTAAACACAAGACTTCAAGAGTTTTTTCCTAGGAAAAGTTAAGAAGCATGGGTGGAGAAAAGATCTTTGGAAGCACAGGGCTATGGGCTCATCCCCATCATTACAGGTTAGCAGTCGTACAAACTTGGGTAACTTGTGTTGCCTCCCTGGGCCTCAGTTTCTTCATCTGTTAAATGGGCAGAGGTGCTTTGGATGAATAGGAACTGGGGCCCAAGTTCTCCTGGCAGGTAGAACTCAAATACATTGGATTAAAGGAAAAGAGAAGAATTTATTTCTGGAGGTGGGTGCCTGGGGATAAAGAGGGAAGTAACGATGTGGGGTGGGAGGTGCTGCCTGCGTCGTGTTCTTTCCCTTCCCAGCCTCCGGGACAGGTTTCCAGTTCCATGGGGAGACAGGCGAAGGCCGGAGCTTGGCTATATTCATGACACGCTGTGTGAGCCTCAGCTTCTGAGCAGTGCAGCTCAGGGGCCAGGTAGCATCCAGAGAGAAGAGATGGGGCATTCTCCCCAGAGCAGGCCACCCGCCCAGCACCTCCTGGGCCTTCTGGGGTCACTGCTTGTTGGAGCAGGGAGAGACCTCAGCCCTCAGCAGAGGCGCAGGCTCCCGGAGACAGCACTGGTGGCAGAAGTTGGGAAGCCCACCAAGGGCCTGCAGGGGTCAGCGGTCCAGGAGGAGGCCAGGTGGACGCTGAGGATGGATGGAGCCTTGAGCCTGCCCACTGTGGATGCTCAGAGCCAATAGGGGAGACCCAAGCAGGAAGTGAGGTTCTGTGGTTGTTGGTTAACGGGCCCCCTTTATTTCTTGCAGATGGGGGAGGCTGAGGCATCCTGGTTGCCAGGAGGATAAACTTCCAGGAGAATAACCTTCTGAGGGATGCGATGTGCTGAGAGATGCTAGCAGGTGCTTCTAGGAAAAGGGCTCCATTGTGAAATCTGCGAGGGTAACTGCATTAGTGTTTTGTTTTTGCTTTTGTTTCTTTTCTGTAACAACCTCAAAACCTCAGGAGCTGATGGCTGCAAACATTTATCTTTCTTGCTTGTGAGTCAGTGGGCTGCCTGGGGTGGGGTTTGCTTCAGGCTTTGGGTGAGCTCCAGGGCTGTTCCTCGGCCTCTCCTGGACCCAGGGGCTCCCCGTCCTCTTGGGGCCCACGGCCAACATGCGAGGAGGGTGAGCGCATGAGCGAACCGTGTCTCTTAAGGCTGAGACGCGGAACTGGCAAGTGTCCCATTCCATTGGCCACCGTGATTTCCACCGCCACACGGAACATCAAAGGAACAGGAAATGTGCTTTGCCCACTCCAGGGTCATGTGGCTGAGGGAGGGAGGGGGGAACTGGGAACGAATCCCACCTGCCACCTTAACACTGCAGACGTAGGCCCCTCGTGCAGAGTCAGGGAGCCCCCTAGGCCTCATGGGTCTCTATGGGGTCCCCAAGTCCTCCTGTATTAGGTGAGCTGGCTTGAGCCGTTTCTCGGGCACTGCGGGATGGCCAGTCTCCCAGGGCTTAGGGTCCTGTGACCCTGCTCCCTCTGTTTCCCCGATTCTGCTCAATGTTACTCCTCTCCTCCCTCTGCAGGTCTCTCTCCATCCTGCCCTACACTGAGCTTGGGGCCCAAGCTGGAATTCGCCAAACCCTCTCTCCTGCCTGGCAAAACAAAGGGCCATCTATTTTGAGTTTCTATTTTCAGTATCACAAAACATGATTGAAGATTTATTATTGTTATTCTTATTGTTGTTGTTTTGCCTCAAACAGGATGCACTGCTTTCCCCCACCTGCCTGGGTGAGGCAGAGAGAGCTCCACAGAGATCCACCTCCTCCTGCCCTGCTGGAGCGGCCCCCAGGCAGTGTGCAGTGTTTTCTCCCACCCCGTGAAGGTGTATTTGGCCCAGGAAACGATCTTTCCTGGAACATCTGTTACCTATCCTCTGACAGTGGCTGGGGTGGGAAGAGCCCTATAGGCTCTAGGATGCCTGTGAGGATTAAATGAAGGAAACTGTGTCAGGGCCCCTGGGCACTGATGGGAGCCCAGTTGGTGTTTGTTCTCCTTTTCTTTAGAGAATACCCCACCTTAGGTGACCCTTTAATGACTGTCCAAGCCAGGACATTTGAGAGAGCAAGAGGATACCGCTATGAATCACACCCAGACAACAGGCATAAACTGGGACTGTCCCAGGCCAAGTGGGATTTGTGGCTGCCCTACCCTTATCACAGACTCTGATGCCTCTGCTCCCTCCCTCTCACCTCCGTGGGGAAGGGCAGGGTGGGGTTGTGGATAGGAAGGCCCCATGCCCATCCGCAGAGCACAAGCTGCCTCCTGGCCCTGGTGGGTAAGTCCCTGTGAAACGGGAGGGAAGGGGGCAGGGCACAACCTCTAAAAGAATGACATAGCCCGAGGACATGACATAAACTGATTAGAACCAAATGGGTCCAAGATGGCGGACAAGTCAACTTCCACTCACTGTGACACATCAGGAGGCTAAATGACACACCCACAGGCACCATGACAGTTCCAAGGCCGACCACAGGATCAAAAAGTGGGTGGTGGCCCAATTCCTGGAAACCCCCGCCCCTTCCTGAAATAGCTAGAATACTCCTCCCACTCATTAGCCTATGAAATTACCCACCCCTATAAAAACTGAGAACCGCATACCCTGGTGCCTTTCTCACCTTCTGAGATGGCCCACACTCTGTCTGTGTTTCTCTCTAAATAAATCCACTTTTAAAAATTTATTTATTTATTTATTTATTTATATTGTGGCCACATTGGGTCTTCGTTGCTGCACGGGGCTTTCTCTAGTTGCAGTGAGCGGGTGCTACTCTTTGTTGCGGTGCACGGGCTTCTCATTGTGGTGGCTTCTCTCATTGTGGAGCACAGGCTCTAGGCACACAGGCTTCAGTAGTTGTGGCATGCGGGCTCAGTAGTTGTGGCTTGTGGGCTCTAGAGCGCAGGCTCAGTAGTTGTGGTGCACGGGCCTGGTTGCTCCACGGCTTGTGGGATCTTCCCGGACCAGGGCTCAAACCTGTGTCCGCTGGCAGACTCTTAACCACTGTGCCACCAGGAAAGTCCCAATAAATCCACTTCTTACCTATCGCTTTGCCTCTCACTGAATTCTTTCTGCGATGCGACATCAAGAACCTGAGCTTCATTAAGTCCCGAAACCAGGTGTGTGATCTCAGTTGGAAGACTCAGGGTTTTGGCGGGTTTGAGTCCCCGCCACGTGGGTTCAAGTCCCAATCTGAGGTGCACGGTTTCACGTTGGGCGGGCAGGGGCTGTGGAAACCAGCCAGGACTCAGATTCTGACAGACCATCCAACCTTGCCTTCTGCCTCTCCAGGTAAGTGTGCACTCAGGGATGGAACATGGGCATACACCTGCTGGACCCCAGCCTTCCACCCCTCCACCATGAGCTGATCCTGAAAGCTGCTGTTCTTGGCCCTTTGCGACAGAAGTAGAAATGCCCTTGGGAGAGGTCTGTGCCCCCCAGGGCTCCACCTGCAGACCCTCCTGCCCCCTCACGGTGCACAGCAGCTGACTACTCCAGGCCTCTGCAGAGAAGGGACCCGACTTCCCTGGATGAGCTGGGCTGACTCTGGGCAGCCCTTGGTCAGACCTGGCTCAGATCATGGCTCTGCCACTGTGTGACTTAGAGCAGGTCACCCCACCTCCCTGAGCCTCTGTTCCCTCATCTGCAGAGTGAGTATAATTGCATCTTTCTCCCAGGACTGTTAGGAAAACCTAGTGGGTCCCTTGAAATCAGAATCTCATTTCTGCCCCGACAAGGTCAACCCCACCAGCCTCTGAGCAAACACATATGCACGCACATGTGCACACACACCAGGCACGTATGTATGCAGCCACAGAATGCATCTAGAATGCATTCCCCCCTTTGGTTCCCCAATCCTCCCCATCCTCCAGGAGCCCAGCTCAGAGCCTCCTTCTTCAGGGTGTCTCAAGACTAGCTAGAGCACTGGCTTTTCTGGAGGATCCTACTCGCAGCCCACCCTGGGTGGGTGACCTCTCCCCATTCTGCACTCCCAAACCTTGAATGGGCCTCCACGATCCATGTGTCACCTTATCCCTTCATTAGTTATACTTATATACATAATTTATCCAGTCATACAAGAAACATGTAATAAGACCCTACAGTGTGCCAGCACTGTACTAAGTCATGGGGATCCAACACGAATGAGATTTGATTCCTGCCCTTAGGAGCTCTTGGTGTAGAAGGAGAGACATCTGTTTCACCTTGACCTCTAACCCTCAACCGCTGAGCAAAGATCAATCTAGAAGGGCCTTTTGGTGGTGGATTCTGGGCTGTCACAGAAAGATGATCCCACAGCACCTGGGGGCCTCCTCTCCCTTGCACTGGTTCCAGCAACTTCCAGGCTGGTGTCTTAGGGAACTGGCGGAGGCACGGCCACCTCTCTCTCTCCCTGGGAGCACTAATCACTACTCACCTGCTGCTCTGGGGAATGATTACCTGTCAAGGTTCATTTGAGCCTGTGGTCTCCCAGAGACTCTCCCATACCCCACCAGGCGGTCCTGATGGCAGCCGAGGAGCTGCTCCGGATGTTAAGGGAGTGAAATTACTTCTCTCCCACCTCCTTGTTTGATGTAGCAGGTGGGCACTGGGACACCTCAGTCCTGTCAGACCTGACAGTGGAACTGCCATGGTCAGACCAGCCGTGGGAGGTGAACAGTGAGGAGTCCAGGAAATCGTGGAGATTGTCTGCCACGCAGCCCTTCTCAAATCAGACTGGCTCAGTGAGTGATTTCAGACTCTGCAAATTGCATCTTGAGCTCTTCTTGCCCTGACTCGCAGCAGGCCTGTCACTGTGCTTCTCTCAGACTTCAGCTCCTACAGCTCTCTCCAAGACCATCACCACTAGAGACAGCAGGTCTGGGCTTGAATATCCAGGTGGTAACTGGTGTGCCACTGCCAGCAGGTTAATGGTGGTGCAGGAAAATGGGAATAATAATTGTTTTAATTGGGTCCATTCCATTTCTGTTACAAGAAACACACATCCAAACTGGCTTAAACTTAAAGCTCAAAAAAAAAAAAAGGAATTTATAAGCTCATGTAACTGAGCAGTTTAAGGGAATTCAGGTATAGCTGAATCAAGGTGCTCAGCTAAGGTTGTCAGGCATCCATTACACCCCATGTTCTGGCTCTGCTTTCCTCTGAGTAGGCTTCATTCCCAGATAGCCCCTCTCCTCCTGGAGGTTCCCAGCAGCTTCAGGAGAAAAGAGCACTCTGCTTACTCAGTATTCCCACAGAGTCCCCGGATGGAGTCTCATTAGTCAAGGCTGAGTCATGTGTCTACCCTTGAACCAATTACTGTGGCCTGGTTCCCATGTTGACCATGACTCTGCACTCTGTACATTTGCACGTGCTGTTGCTGTCACCTGGAGTGCCCTTCTCCTTCATCTTCCCATCCGCATCTCCTAATCACCAAAACCAAGGTCAGCCCCCCTCCTCATGGATGCTTGCCCCACCCCATCCCCCAGTCTGCTTCGGGCTCCCCTGCTCTGAGTCCCTGTTGTGTTCTCTCTTGGCATGTATCATGTGATCATTATGGATTTATGTGCTGATTCTCATTTCACTGTAAATGTGATGAAATTGAAGGTAGGAGCTCAGTGTTGCCCACCACTGGCCCTCAGCACAGGCTCAGGTACACAGTAGGTGCTCAATAAATGTTTGCTGAAGGAGGAAATGGTTAGTGCAGAGGTTCTGGCACATGTTCAGAAGGCAGAGGATTAGGGCTTGAACTGGTTAGTGGCGGCGGGGAGGGAGACTGAAACAAGACACATCCAGCGAGAAAGGTGAGGTCATCCCAGCCACTCCCTCCCTCTGCGAGCTCAGGCTCTGCTCCAGGAATCTGAGGACTGACTGACCGGTGAGGTGGCCCCACCTTGCTCAGCCTTGAACTCTCAGTCACCCACCTGCTATCCACACTTGAGTAGACCATGAGACGTCAGCCTCAAAACTGGGTTACAATTCTCTTTTGCATCTGGGAGGGGAAAACAGAGCCACTCCTCACAGTGAAGAGAACTCTGGCAAGGACAAAATCTCTCCTGGGCACTTGGAGGAGGCCATGTTTTTGCAGAGCAGCCCTGGAGGGAGGGCGGCCAGAGCCCGGCTTCCTCAGCCTGCTCTTCCGCTTACGGCCGTGTGATCTTAGGCGAGGCATTGCCCTGTCTGTGGCTCAGTTTACCCTTCTGACAAGTGGGGGTGACAACCTGCTGTATTAGTTTCCTAGGGTTGCTGTAACAAAGTGCCACAAACTGGGTGACTAAAAACAACAGAAACTTATTGTCTCACAGTTCTGGAGGCTAGAGGTCCAAAATCAAGGTGTCAGCAAAGCCATGCTCCCCCCGAAGCCTCTGGGGAGCAGCCATCCTTGCCTCTTCCAGCTTCTGTAGCCTGGGCGTTCCTCGGCTTGTAGATGCCTACTCCAGTCTATGCCTCCATCTTTACATGGCATTCACCCTGGGCATCTCTGTGTGCAAATCTCCCTCTTCTTACAAGGACATCAGTCCTGTTGGATTAAGCCTACCCTAATGACCTCATCTTAATCTGATTACGTCTGTAAAGACCCTATTTCCAAATAAGTCTCATTCATAGGTACTGGGCTTAGGGCTTCCCTCTACCTTTTTGAGGGACACAAACCCATAATACCACTTATCTGGATTTTTGAGATAATTAGGAAATGAATGTGAGAGCATAGCACAATCGTGGGCCACTGATAAGATGAGGAGCCTGGACTGGCGACTGTTCTGGGGTCCCTGCCGGGCCCATGACTCTGTGCCCTTTGATTTCCTGCTTCCTGCAGCCTCCTGAGAAGGGGGCCCTGGTCACTCAGAAACGTTGGCACCGCTCAGGTGAGGAGATGTGATGCATTGGCCGTGTCTCCTGATTCTCCTGCTGTCACGCTTAATGCAGGCTCCAAGCCTGGCCACTCAGTCACTGTCATGGAACATTCCAGAGCTAGCACCTGGGTCCTTCCCACTAATGAGGCTCTTCTCGGAGACTCAGTCCTCACCCCAATCTTGTTTCTCTTTGCCCTTTCTGTCACATCCAGGAAAAAGGTGGTGTTCGTCTGTCAGCCAGAGGAAGAGTGGTGCCTTGCTGAGGTGACATTCTCTAGGGGCTGTCTTTCTGGTGTGGCCCTTTCTGAGGGAATCATAACCGTGGTCATAGTGTGGTGCCTTCCCCATCCATGTGGCTGTGTGTGGCATGAGCTGCAGCAGCTTCTTGATTCATAGATTTAGGAAATGCGTTGAATTCCTTGAGAAAGATGAAGTCAAGTCAGCCTCTGAGATGAAAACTATAGGCAATCGATCATATGGGTAATTTAGTGTAATAAGCTTTGAAAAATAATGGAGCTTGTGCTCAAGATAGGAGACTTTAAGTATTCCTGTATTTCCCAGGATCCTTTGCAGTTAGGTTGTCACCATGTGATGAGTTCTGGCCAATGGACTGAGAGCAGAAGTAATATACTTATTCCCGGATTGAGGTAGTTAAGAGTGGGTGTGATGCCTGCATTCCTCTCTTCCTTTGCAGTGGTGACCACAGGGTCCCAGATGGGAGAGACAGACCTTGTCTACATTGTCCATTTCTGGTCCCAGTACATAGAAAAGTAGGAGGTACATAGAAGGTATTCAGTAACTCCAGGATGCATGAGCAGATGAAGGAATGCATGAAATACTGAAGTTTCTACATAAATTTCCAATTTCTCTTCATTAAGCAATTGAAAGAAAAACCTTCATCCAGGTGCGGCTTGAAAACATCTTCTGCCTTTCTCTGTCTTGCCTGGTCCAAGTTCCATGGACACTTTCCTGGAGAGTCCTGCTCCCCTGCTCCCTCTCTTATGTCTCCTGAGTTTGTTTCCTTGAATCCTCCTCACATGGGCTTTCACAAAAGCAAAGTTTTTAAATTCCAGTGAGGTTCAACTTAATCAATGTTTTCTTTTGATGGTTCACACTTTTGGTGGCAAGTCTAAGAATTCTTTGCCTAGCCTTAGATCATGAAGACTTTCTCCTAAAAGTTCTTCTAAAAGTTTTATGTCTCACCTTTATGTGTATGATCCATTTTGAGTTCTGTATGAAATGTATCGAGGTTAATTTTGTTGTTTATAGATGTGCAATTGCTGCAGGTCTGCTTGTTGAGTGGGCTAAGCTTCCTCCATGGAATTGCTTTTGTACTTTTGTCAAAAATCGATTGAGCACATTTGGGTGGCTCTATTTCTGGGTTCTCTTTTCTGTTCCATTGACCTATGTGTCTATCCCTCTACCACAACCTAAGTGCCTTGATTAATGTAGCTGTGTAGTACACCTTAATGTTACGTAGAGTGATTCCTCCCATTTTCTTCCTTGTCAAGATTGTTTTAGCTGTTCTAGGGTCTGTGTTTTTCTATATAAATTTTAGAATAAGCTTTCTATGTTTACAAAAAGCCTTGCTAGGATTTTGATAACAACTGTGGTAAACCTGTGTATCAGTTTGGTGAGAACTGATATCTTTACTATGTTGAGTATTCAAATCCATGAGCACAGTCCGTTTCTCCATTTATGTATTTAGGTCTTCTAAAATTTCTTTTATCAGTAATTTATAATTTTCAGCATACAGATTCAGGACACGTTTTGTTAAGTGCATACCTATATGTTTCATTTTCTTTGATACAATGGTAAATAGTATTGTATTTTTAATTTTTCTGTCTGCGTGTTTTGTTAGCTTATAGAAATATAATTGGTTTTTGTGCATTGATTTTGTATCCCAAGACCTTGCTGAACACACTTAGTTCTGGGAGGTATTTTGCAGATTCCTTCGAATTTTCTACACAGGAAACTTGTCATATGCAAATAGAGATAGTTTTATTTCTTCTTCTCCAAACTGTATGTCTTTTATTTCTTTTTCTTACCTTATTGCAGTGGATATAAATTTCAGTGCTTTGTTAAATAGGAGAGAGAAGAGCAGACATCCTTGCCTTGTTCCTAATCTTGGTCAGAAAGCATTCAGTGTTTCACCATTAAGTAAGTTAGATGTAGGTGTTGCGTAGACATTCTTTATTTTCTTAAAGAGATTGCATATACCTGACGTGGTGGTAAAATTAACTCAGCATTATTTACTGAACACCTCCTATGTGCTGGGCACTGTGCTGGGGCTGGACTTAGTGATAAAGACATGTGTCATGGTTCCTGCCTTTGGGGAGTGGAAGTTCTAGAAACAGAGTTCTCAGCTGCTTTGTCAGTGGCGTCTTAAGCTCTCAGCCCTTCTGATAATAATGCTGGGGCTTTAGGGGGCCTCATAGAGGCATCTGCTGCCCTGATTCTAAAGCCACCAGAGGATCCAGGGCATGGTGGATGGAGAAGTGGTCTCCCCTTTATCACTGATAAAGCTGTTGCTGGAGGATGGGGCTCATACCTGCAAGCCTGTGGACCCTACTGCAAGCTCCAGGATTAGACGGTGTTCACCCCACCATCAGAGGCACCACTGGACCCCCAAAGGCTTCCTCAAGGTCCAGGTTTTGGGGCCCATTGCTATAAAACCTCCAGCAGTGGGAAAGCAGGGCAGATGGCAGACTCCCCAAAGACAGCCAGGCTCCCAAAGAGACAGAAAGACGGTTTGGGCCCTGTGAATTGGTCCTGCTCCTCCTCAAACTCCCCAGCTCTGTGGGAAGGGGAGGTCAGAGCGTCTGTGGGACACCCCTCCCGGAGGACACTAGGAGTGGGAGGAAGCCTCCTCCCAGCTCTAAATAACGAAATAATAGGAGGACCACTCATGGAACATCGCTCTGTGCTAAGCAGAGTGGTCATCATCTTACAGAGGAAGAAATGGGAGAACAGAGGTTTAGAAAAATCAACTCACTTCCCAGGGGTTTGGAGGTGAGAAATGGAAAATGGACCCAGGTATGACCCTCAGTCCTCGCTCTTCACTGCCCCCCACAGTGACCACACCAGGTTCTGGACCCTGCTGGCCTCTCTCCCAGCCTCCTGGGGCTCATTTGATGCCGACCAGCTCTGAGAGCAGAAAGTGCTTCTTCCTTTTGAATTCCTACCTGACTCCTGGAAGATTCTGTCAGTTGGTCCTTGTTTTGCCTTCCAGAGCCTCACAGTGAGTTTAATCTCCTCAGTAACTGCAGAATACATTTAATAAACTCCATTAAAGTGTGTAATCTCATAGACAGGATGCAGAACTTCTGTGCTTCAGACTTTTTTTTTTCATAATTACTAGCACCATGGAAATTGCTGGGATTACAGACTCCACTGGAGACAGAGATGAACTTTGTCACCAAGAAAGTACAAATGAACTGTAACTCCCGCACAATAAGGTGGGCTGAGATTTGCATTAAATTAGCAGGCAGGTTCGTGCCCATTAACTCATGGGGACCAACAGTGACCTTTGAGGGTTTGTTTAGGAGATGGGGAAGGTGGGGAGGTGGAGGGGGTGGGGTGGTGATTTGGTGGCAGCTCATTCAAAAAAATGATCTGTTAAATCTGAAAGGAACAATGGAGATCTAGGCTAATCCCATTTTCCAGGTGGGACAACATTCCTCTACCACAGTCACCCTTCCCCCCACCTCCCACCCCCAGGGAGGAGGGGACCTGCCCTACAACCGTAGCTGGTCCACGGGAGACCTAGGACTAGGACACAGGCCACCAGTACCCCGCCCAGTGGCCCCAACACACCAAGGAATCCTGGTTCCCCTCAACTTTGGTGATAAAAATGGCCACCAGATGGTCATCAGGTGATCAAGAAACACCCATGTTGGCCAAAGAAGAGCCTGTCTTCAGTTTGGATCCTATCATTAAACATCTGCCCTGTGCTATGTGCTGGGTCAGGGGTTTTCTCATGTGATCCCCTCAACAGCCCTATGTGACACCAATCTCCATTTTACAGATGGGAAAACTGAGGCTCAGAGTGATAAAGATGCTTGTCCAAAGCCACCCTGTTAGTCATTCATAAGACTGGAATTCAAACTCAGGACTCTCTGATTCCACTACCAACATTTTATGTAGCTGGAGTTTCTCGTGCTGGTCAGGCAAACAGGTTCATCTCACAAAACAATGCCAGTTGGTTGGTTGTATCTGCTTGATATGTTGCCTTGGAAAGGAGTTTGGGGCTGAATTCAAGGTCAGAAAGAAAGAGTGCTGGGATGGATGCCATGGCAGTACAGAGGTAGGACATGAGTGCCTGCATTTGCCATTCATGCTGAAACCTCACACATGCCAAAACCCACTGGGTCACATGTCAGGTGGGACAGGGTACCTGTGAGTGCTGCCTGCTCTTGCCTGTGATGGCCGTGCAGTCTTCTTCTACTCTCAGGCTCTGGGTCCCCCAGTTCTCTGCTCCATGGGGACACCGCCTTGCCATGTCCCTGGGTTAGCACAGGGACTGAAAGAGATCAGGGGTGAGAAAGCACTTCATATCTAGATGAAAATGATGGAGGAGTGTCACAACTCCCCTCTCTCTAAACAGATGGAAGACAGCACATAAAGAAACACAGGGAGGGGAGGGTTTGTTTTCATTATTGTTTCCACCAGTCATCAGCCACAACTCCATCCATAAACTGAAGCATTTCTGCCAGGTACTGTGAAATCTAGACCCGAGCAAATGAGGAAACTGAGAACCCACATAAACTTCCTCAAACCAGTTTCCTTAACGTTCAATATCCCAGACGTGAATGGCTTATCCCAAAACCCTTTGCTTGAAGTTCTGACACCCAGAAAGACCCCCCAGGGAAGTGGCGAGCACCTCCAAGGGGAGTCATCCCACCTTGGGGGGCAAGTAAGCTGGGTATGTATCCTCCAACCCGTCGTGGCTGAAGGCTGCTCCCAGCTCATGAATGCCCTGGCACTCCCAGCTGGCCCTCGTGCGGAGGCTACCACCCATGCCCACCAGCATGCTCTGCAGTGTGAGAGCCAAGGGGATGTGGGCGAGGCACCAACCACATCTGCACAAAGTGGGATGATGGAGGGGGAGGGGGCCTCTCTCTCCTTCCCAGTCCAGACCCATCTCTCTCACCCCCTTCCTAGCCATCCACGCCCCACAGTAGAGGACACATTGCTAATCGGGTTCATTGTCAGCTCAGTGGGCATGGGCGCTGGCGTCAGGGTCACACATTCCCTCCCTCACAACCTTCTCTTCCACTTCCTGTCCCTGCCTGTGATGCATCATGAGCAGAGAAGGGCCACCGTCCGGGCAGGAGGGGGTCCCTCAAGTCAAGACACAGAGCAACCCAGACACAGAGATAACAAGGCTGTGTGACAGCAGAGGCACAGATTGGAGTGACGCAGCGACAAGCCGAGAAATGCCGAGGATCAACAGACACCACGAGAAGTCAGCGAGAGCCAAGGATCAACAGACACCACCAGAAGTCAGCGAGAGTCAAGGATCAACAGACACCACCAGCAGTCAGCAGGAGTCAAGGATCAACAGACACCACCAGAAGTCAGCAGGAGTCAAGGATCAACAGACACCACCAGAAGTCAGCAGGAGTCAAGGAAGGGTTCCTCCTGAAATCTCAGAGGGAGCATGGTCCTGCTAACACCTTGATCTTGGACTTCTGGGCTCCAGAACTGTGAGACGATAAATTTCTATTGTTTGAAGTTAAAAAAAAAGAAAAAGAAAAAGAAAAAACACAGAGCAGAGGGTAACACGCTTACAAGAGACTGGTCTCTTTGGTGGACGTGGCAAAACACGGTGGCACTGTCAACGATGTCACCAGCATAGCCCTGGCGTGGGGAAGACTTGGTGGCCTTTGAGGCTCTGGATACTTTCAAGTGGACTCTTGTATATTCCACAGTGACGCAAGCCCCAGCACATGAAGAAGTAGCGCTCGGAGCCCGTGACCTTGAAGCCGCCCCTTCACTGCGGAGCTCATGGCTGCACGGCCGTCCCAGCTGGAGGGCCTGGGGGTCCTCAGGGCGAGGTGCCCCTGCGCGTGCCCCTCCCCACACTGGGCGCCCCCCAACACCACCCCCTCGTTTCCTCTCCACCCGCAGGTCAGGTCGGGGCTCTGGGCCCGCGGCTGTCAGCGCAAACCTGGAGGAGCCGCGGGGAGGGAACTGCGGCCGCGCCTTTCTTCCTCTTCCTTCTGCCGCCTCAGCCACCTTGTCCCCGGCCACACATCAGGCCAGCTCTCCGGGCTCAAAATTTCAAAGGCCAAACTTTTACCTTTTCTAGGTCAGGATTTTCTTGCTTTTAGCCAAAGGCCACTGCAGAATTTACAGAACGAGGAGCCAGCGCAACACGGTCTTCGGAGGACGGAGCTCGCGGGGCTGACGGGCGGCTTCCCCCGCCCCGGTCTCTGCCCGCTCCTCCCGCAGCGGCGGCGGACACAGCCGCATCGGGCGGGGCTGTGATTCCTCTCTCCCGCGCGGGCTGAGCCCGGGGCACCGTCACCGCGCAGGGGCTGCTGGGGGCCGCGGGCGGAGCCGGAGGTGCTGGACGGAGGGCAGCGCCGCGGGCGGGGGCTCGGGGTCCACCGCCTGCTCTGTCCCCTGAGTGGCAGCGTGCCTCGTGGCCGGGAGGCACACCGCTTCGGGCCTCACGTCCCAGCCAGGACAGGGGGCAGAAGCACACCCCGTGCGGCTGTGGCCAGGGTTCAGTGAGGCGATGCAGATGAGGTCCGTGTGCCTGGCTTCCAGAACTTTCCATGAGACCCCAATCGCCTGGTGACGGAAAGTTAGGAAGCCGATAGTAATTTTGTCTCTCTCTCACTGAACCGCGAACCTGGACCCTGAGGTGAGGTCCAGGAACTGTACCGGGAGAAAGGAGAGATGCGGCTCCGCCCTGACTGACCGGGGCTCCCGCGGGTCGGCGGGGCTCCCGCGGCCGGATCGAGGCCCGGCCTGGCCAGCGGGGGCTGCGGCCGCCGCATTGGAGCACTGCTGGGTCGGCTGAGTCACAAACGCCCGAGCGCTCCCCGATTTCTTCCTGGGGCCGCAGGACTCTGAAGCTGAGGCCGGGGCCCCTCAGTCACTCCTGGGGGGCCGGTGTGAGCGAGTCAGCAGGGCCCTCCCCACCCAGGAAGCTGCCCCTATCAGGGTCCTCGGCCCAGGGATGGGGTCCAGGGGGAGGAGCGGGGCGGGGGAGGAGCGGGGCGGGGGTGGAGCCGAGGGCAGAGACTGGACGAGTCATTCCCCCCAGAACTTCGCCTGACACCCCAGAGAAGGGCGGTGGTGGTTCGGGCCGCAGGGCTGCTGGGGGGGCGGCCTGGGTCACGTGGGCAGAGGTCAGCGGGGGGCTGGCACCACTGGGAGGGCCTGGGGGTGGTGGGAAAGGGGTGCGCTAACTGGGACAGCCGTTCCCAGAGGTTGGAGCGCGCAGACTCACCCCCGGAGGTGTTTAAATACAGACTCCCTGACGCCACCCCATCCCAGAGATCCTGGTGCCTGGGTCTGGGGAGGGTCCAGGGAATCTGCATGTTCGCAAGCCCCTCCTCCATTCGGGAGGCTACCGACCACACTTTGGGGACCCTGAGGTGTCTTCTCGGGGCTTGGGCAGGAACTGGAGGACACTGAGTGGGCCAGGCGTCCGGCAGGTGACGGATGAAGGTGGCAGGGGGCAGGGGTGACCCAGGGCAAATCACTGTCCCTCTGAATCTCGGTTTCCTGATCTAAGAAATCAGAGGGGGGCTTCCCTGGTGGCGCAGTGGTTGAGAGTCCGCCTGCCGATGCAGGGGACACGGGTTCGTGCCCCGGTCCGGGAAGATCCCACATGCCGCGGAGCGGCTGGGCCCGTGGGCCATGGCCGCTGAGCCTGCGCGTCCGGAGCCTGTGCTCCGCAACGGGAGAGGCCACAACAGTGAGAGGCCCGCGTACAGCAAAAAAAAAAAAGAAAAGAAATCAGAGGTAATGCTAACCCTCCCTCAGGGGATGGCTTGAGGATTGCACTTAGACCCACTCCTGAGTCTGTGCTCAGTAAACGTCTCTGTCGCCGCTCTCTGTAAATGCCCTCCCTGTCAGCTGGTCACAGGCCGCCTGCCCAGAGGTCAGCCCCAGGGACAACATGGCCATTGCCTAGGTCTGGCACCCTCTGAGACCCCCAGGATGGGAAGAAGTAGGCCCAAGTGCCAGCCAACCCTCCCCTGATGGTGTCCTGGAAAATAAACCCGATTTCCTGGTGACCCAGATGAAAAACATATTGCTTGGAAAGTGCTGTTCAAACAGAATCACCCAAACCATTCATCTTCAGAGCCGGCATCTCACGGCGGACATCTGGTGAAGGTGTCAATTGTCATAATTAGTTAGACCTTCCCCAGATTCCTGGCACTGCAGTCTGTCAGCAGGAGCCACCTGCCTTGTCTGCAAGGATGGGGGATGGGAAGGATAGACCCCGTACCTGGGTGCATCCCCTACCCATGGGTGCTCAGGGTGCTCTGTGGCTCCCGGCAGCCCCTGTGTGTGTGTGGGGGGGCAGCTTCATCCAGGGGAAGCAGTGTTCACCCCACACCCCTCATTGGTGGCTTCTGAGACCTCAGAACAGGCCGTGTCTTCAAACAATAATAACCGAAGTGTAACAGTAACAGTGATCACGATCTCATGGCTCTTGTGTGCTGAGCGCCTACTGTATGCCAGGCCCAGGAGATTGTTTAACCCTATTGACCAAGACTACCGCATGATTTATTATCCCAATGGGACACTTCCCAGGGTGAAAGGGTGCCTGGACAGGGAGGCTCCTCCACTTCAGGTCTCAGCTGGGATGTTGCCTCCCCTGACCCCCTCCTGAGCACTGTCTGAAGTCCAGGCCCCACCTTCAATCCCACACCCCTGAGCCTCCACGCTGTTCTGGGTCCCCGTCCTGTCCACCGGTCTCCTTTCCTGTCATGACCACCCACCCGTCATGAAGTGGGTCAGTCGGTATGTCTGTCACCTCTCTCCATGACCATGTGGGCCTGTGAGGGAGGGGCTGGGTGTCTTTTGCCCACTGCTGCACCCCAGTGCCAAGCCCATAGTAGCTGCTCATTAAATGCCAGTGGGATGGGAGGACAGGTGGATGGGTGAGTGAGTCAATTAATGAAAAATTGTGACATAAAAGGACTGGACTATGAGTTCACGTGTCTTCTTTGTGGGCTTTGCCAGGGTTTCCTGGGGGAATTTTCTGCAGTCTCGCAGGCCTCCGGGAGAGGGTGCAGCTGGAGCCTGGGGAGTCAGAGGAGTCCCCTGATGTGACAAGTCTGCAGAGAATGTGATTGTCTTCGCAGAATGACACCCTGGCCCCTGCGTTGAAGGCATCGTGCCCACTGGCTCTGAGGAGCTGGGAGTAACAAGTACTTTAGATGCCCTAGTGACACGTGCCAGACAAACTAGATTCGGGGGCCCGCCACCTCAGTGTCTGCCAGTTTGGAGCGGAAACCAGAGCACGAGAAGGTTCTGCAGCACGTCCA